ACTGTAATGTAAACTGACGGTGTAAGTGAGGTCTTTTACTGATTAATCTAGAAATGTAAATGTATCTCAATGTGACAAAGTTGAATGACTCAGTCAAATAAAACAAGTTCTTTAGAACTATTTAATTCTCTCACTGTCATGCTATTCTTTTCCATTATTTTAGTCCCATCTTGATTTTTTTAAACCAACACAGTAAGCATTATTTTTATAGTTTTTTCTAGCTTCCCTTTTTATTTTTACAAAAAAAAATTTTCATAACTGAATCATAAGAGAACAACAATAGTTACTACACTGTGTATTTTTTATAATTTTACGCAGTTGAGATTCACTTCGATTTACCCATACATTGCCATTATCTTCCACCCAGATCTTTTGGGGGAGCTTTTCCTGTTTGGATCGGCCTGTCGTGAGTTTTGCTGATGGGAAACACTCTGTGCTTTATGGCTGACAGTGTTTATTCATATTCCTTGTTGAAAACTAGTTTGGCCTCTTCAGTGGAACTCTAAGCAGGCCGGTGTTCGCTTTTAGTGCTCTGAAAGTATGTTCCACCGTCTGCAAGCCTCCGTGGTTAGCAGGTCAGCCGTCAAAATAATTGTGACTTCTTTGGAGATAATCTGTGGGTTTCTGTGGGTTATTATTTTTATCTTCTTTGGAGATAATCTGTGGGTTTTTGGGAGATAATCTACGGCTTGGTTTTGAGTTTGAGTTTTGGTTTGTGTTTGTTGCCACTCTCTTCAAGTCTGTTTTGCCCCTATGTTCTCTGTTTCCTTCTAGAGCTGAAGAAATTTTGGATTCTCACTTTCCCTTCCATCATTCAATCTCCTTTTCATATTTTTGGTTTCTTTGCTGTTTAACCCGCACTCAGTGGAATGTTTCCATCTCTCAGTGCACACGTCCTCTCTTCATTTGCATCCAGTTTATGGTATAACTCACCAACTGGGCATTGTTAGTTTTTCATATCCAGGAAAAAAATGGACAAAACAGAATTTGTTTCATTTTTAAATCTTGCTGGTTAGTTTTGATGCTCACTCACTCCAGTACCATACTTCCCATGCTCTCTTTTGTTTCTGTAAAGGTGTTTTGCATATTTATTTTGTACTCTATAATTGGCTCTCTCAACATCTAAAATCTCAGCTTGTCTGATTTTGTAGTTTTGTATTTCTGATACTTTCAGCCATAGTGGTTAGATTTCTGCTGTGTTTTATGAGTTTTTTACTTTTTTTACTATTATCTCAGGTTTCTTGGAATTTTATTTTTGTAATTTCTTTGAGGTTTTGTTTTTCAAATGGACATTACTCCACAGAAGATATTTTTGCTTCTGCCAGGCTCTTGGGTGCCCGACCTACCTGGGAAAGATTTCAAATGAAACTTTGCTGTTATTGTTGTGCTGGGGATTAAACCAAAGCCTCATGCATGCCAAGGAGGCACTCTACCAGTGAGCTATGCCCCCAGCCCCCAGCCCCTTTAATTTTATTCTTAGACAGAGTCTTCCTAAGTTGCCTAGGCTGGCCTCAAATTTTCAATCCTTCCACCTCAGCCTCCTGAATAGCTGTGATTACACTGTGGTAGCACCTGCTACCACATCCAGCTTTCAAATGAACCTTTTGGCATGCATAACTTTTAGGCTAAGCAGGATAATGTGAACTCTTTTCACAAATTTTGTCTGAGATTTTCTGGTTCACAATTTTTAGAGAAAAGAGTCTTCTCCCCGCAGGCCCTACCGCGGAATGAATCAAGCCTAAAATGGGCATCTGTCTTCATCCACTCTTCATCAAGCTCTTCTTCCTGAATTTCCAGTAAGGTTGTCCCACCCTAGAACCCAGGTTACAAGTAAGGAGAACGCCAGGCTCCTGGCTCTGTGCCTTCTGCCTCAGTTCTCTGGGTCAAAGGGACCCACACAGTAGGCGGTTTTGACTAGAAAAATAACCCCACAGCCAGCACCAGAACACACCTGCGCTTTCTTATCTTGGCCTTTAGCTATTTCTCTTACTTCCTCACCAGAACACCTATCCATTTAAAAAAAAAAAAAATACATACTTTTCCCCTCCACAGTTCACCCAGCAGCTTAGGTCTGTGCAATGGGGGCTCACACTTGGTGTGCTGTGTGCCGTGGGCTGGAAAGCAGCATTCTGAAACCACTTCCTAACAAGGAAAATTGGTTTTTTCTCCAGTCTGTATGACCAACTTGCCACCAATAAGCAATTTTAACCCACTGTAAAACTCCTGGTCTTTCAAAAGGAAAGTCTGGGGTGGGTTTGCAGCGTGTTTGAAGGGTAGGTATTTGATACCCACCTCTAAGCATTAGAGCCACTCGCGTCTGAGGTGACTGGCAGTCCTGTAGTTAAGATGAGTGCCAAGATACCAAATCACTAACCACAGCCTTCTTACTGGGCTCTCGGCCTTGTGTTGTCCCAGAGCCAAAGTTTTCAGGGACCTGTGGTTGCTTGTTAGCAGCTAAACTGATTCTACTTCATTCTAATGCAAACCACACAACACTCTGAGTCACATTTTTGTGAATGTGATGGACTTAACTGAAATGGAATTGGCTTCGCCCCAGTGACCAGCCTTAGCCAAATCCAACCACTGCCCTCAGGGATGTGCCTGTGTGTCCAGCCCTCCATGGGCTTGTTCCAGGTGTCCTCCTGGGCTGGCTGTTCACTGATTTATTAATTTACTCAGTTAAAGTGTAGTAAACGTCTACTGCACACCAGCCATCGGAAATATAAAGATGACTCAAACATGACCTTGGCCCTGAAGGAATTCACTTTTGGAAATAACAGAAACATTCTATAAACTAATTTCTGTTACACAGAAACCAACTTCTATAAAAGCTGTTAAATGCTGCAAACCTATATATAAGCACAGTTATTTTCCTTATAGTACTTCACTCATAAAGACTAAGAAACTTTAACATTTCAAAAGGGCTTAGAGGCCAGGCATGGTGGCACCTATAATCCAAGCACTTAGGAGGCTGAGGCAGGAGGATTGCTGTGAGTTCAAGCCCAGCCTGGCCTATAAAGTGATTTCAAGGCTAATGTGAACTGTATAGTAAGACCTTGTCTCAAAAAGACAAAAGGGAGGGCTTAGAATGTGAAAATAAAATGATAAATGCTGGATTTATGTCGGGAGCGAAGGCTTCTTTTCACTAGATTTACGGGTTATTGGGAGCCTCACTGTGGAGATGGGAGGTTGACTTTACCAAGGTGGGAGCTTCTGAGCATAGCCAGCCCCATGCCTCTGGCTTCTCTCCTACATCTAGAAAACTGTTCCCCAGCAGTGTGGTCTCTAAGCACTGTGCCGGGGCTGGAAACCTATGTGTGAGCACCTCAGGCTGGGGCTTTCATCCTTCCAGTTTGCATAATTGCTGCATTTGACCAGCTCTCATGCCAACCAGTGGCCCCGGTAGAATTTTAAATTGTTATTACAAGTTAGTAAAATAACTTGCATGTTTGTATTCATTTTAAAGCATAGAAAAAAACTTTTAAATACTATAAAGTCCAAGTTGGAGGGACTCTGTTTAATTAAATTTTTGAAATATATTTCTAAACCATGAAGAACTTCTACTAAATCTAAAAATGTACCAGTTCTTTCTCTGCACATGTCATCCAATATTTGAAATAAGTGGGAGAGATCACAATGTCTGAATACTGGCCAGAGGCAGGATGAATGTCTACAGTGGCCTTTCCAAAACCCCTTCCCCTGTCAGAGGTGTCTTAACCAGTTTTCTGTTGCAATAACAAAATACCTGATGCCAGGTACAGTAATTAATAAGTAATAAGCAGTGATTTGACTCACAGTACTGGAGTCAGTGTTGTCCAAGAGCATGGCACCCACATCTTCTCAGCAGCTGGTTTCTTCTTCTTTTTCTTTTTCCATTGTAACTTCATGGAGATATCACATAGCAAGACAGGGTAGCATTACCTTGGGTCTCTCTCATCTTATACAGCTACTAATAGCATCACAGAGCTCCCACCCTCAGAGCCTCATACAACCCTAACCACCTCGCTGGGACCATTAGCACATGAATTTGGAGACTAGGTTTTCAACACACAAACTTTGGGGGACACATTTTGTCCATAGCAGGTGGTAAGAGTAAAGGATAATCTAGTCCTCAGTGGCATGAGTCATGCTCGCAGACATATCTGAGACATTGCCATTTTATAGATCCTGAAGTAACGCGTGATATCATATAATACTATATAAGGTATTCTGAGAATTTGAAGACATGAATTTATAATCCCCTACTCTCCTTATACATTTGGCATTTATTTTTATTTCCATCTAGGAAATGAGAACTTTCAGAGGTGTTAAATAATGTTTTCAGTATCACCTACCTGCGTGGAGCTGGGGTTTGAACCCAAGTAGCTGTGCTCCCAGTCCTCATCTCTGGACGTTACCGGCTCCTGAAGCCTGCTTCTCTGTCCTTTCCTTCTTCTTACTGATGTCCCTCTGTAGCAACATTTGTTGTTCCTCATTTCCTAGATGCAAGAAGCAAGGGAAATCAGATATAAAGTTTAAGGGCAAAGGTTTGGGAGTCACACAGATTCCTCTCCTGACCAATGTCAGCCCCTTGTTTAGTTCATCTAATCTTCAAAGCAAAGTGAAAGCCAGCTGCTCACTTCACAGCTAGTGAAGTGTCTGATAAGAATTTCACGTAAGCGTTTATCACCTTGCCTGCATATTAACTGCCTAACAGGTGTTATTTATTACAGTAATGCAAAATAATAGAATAAAGATTACATGCTATATAATTGAGCAACCCGTGCCTAGCTTATGGACAGAAGCTAGGAACTTTAGTAGAAGTTCCTCATGGTTTAGAAAGGGACGCCAAGAACAGAGTGTTCCATGCATATCCTGTGCTGTCCAGCACCCACCAAGTGAGTTGATTCCTGAGTTTCTTGCCTAAAGGCACTCCATCTTTAAGACTCCTCTGTAGGGCCAAACTTCAATCCCAGAGATAAAGATCTGAATTTAAACTCCTGTTGTCTCCATCAACGCAGGCCTACAGAATTGATGAGCGAGCCGCCGAGCAAGCCCGCTGGGAAGAGGCCACCAAGGAAACCATCAAGAAAACCACCAAGCCCTGCCCTCGCTGCAGCGTGCCAGTGGAGAAGAATGGTGAGTGCGGGCCGAGCAGGGAAGGAGGAGGCTCTGGGCTCCGCCAGGGGTGCAAGCTGTGAGGTGCGGCAGGCAGGGATTCTGGTCAGGTCTAACAACCGTGTATGTGGTTAAGCAAGCACTGCCATCCTTTGAGCCCCTCCAAGCAAAGTTTGAAACTCATTTCCTTCATATTAAGTTTCTTAACCTCCTGAGCCCCAGCTCCTCTAAAATAACATTGGTTCTTCACAAAAGGAATTCTGAAATGCTTTCACATGCTAGTGCACATTCAGAGGAGGTATGCTAGAAGCTTCTTGGTGTGGATTCCATGGGAAATAAATGCCTGGCCCTCAGGTCTTTAAAGCAGAGAGGGCAAGGGAAGCTCCCTGGCACCGTTGTTGGCAGCAGCACAGGACATCATGCTCATCACGACTTCACCCAGGGTCTGGTGGAGAAAAAGCACTCAGTGAACATGAATTACCCTTATTTCTAATAATAGTAGACACTTGGTGTTTAATTAGTTGTCCACCATCACAAGGAAAGCTTCCCATTCAGGATTCCAGTGTCCTCCATGGGATTCTAGTGTGCAGAGGCACTCCAGGGGCGAGGGGACACCACCATGTCAGGCCCATTTGGCAGGTGATTCCCCACTGCATCCCCTCACCGGCTGACAGGAGAGCAGAAGTCACGCACTGGGAGAGCACACTCACTAGGCTGAGTGCTGCATGGCGTGAGAGCAAGTGACCCTCTCAGAAGCTGCCATAGAAGCAGTGTTACTGCTCCATTCACCTCCTGTACAAGGCTATCAAAGCTGTTCCAAACTCGTTTGTAAAGAAGCCTGGTTCATTTCATTAACTTCTTTCCAAAATTTTGGGCGATGAAATTCTTCATCATTTGCTTTATGTTTATTTTATTTTTCATATCACTCCTGTGAATACCACTTTGGACACTAGTCCGCACTTTGGGCTCTGGTTTCTCCCCCTTGGTGTGTAGGAATCAGTATCCTAAAGTGCTTTGGTGCTTGGCTTCCGCATTACAGTAGCCTTTACATAAATATACTTTTGAATATATTTCAAATACTGAATTCAATAGATATTAAATTTATTTGAATAAGGAATTGACTGCAAAAAATGAATCATTTGCCTCAAAATCTTATTTTAGAAGAAGTAAATAAACAGATTTGCAAATAGAATTTGCTCTGTGGGAAGAGGTGTGCTTCCATTTCTTAACGAATGTTTTGACTTTAGAGCTGCCTACCTTGCTTTCTGATGTTCTCTGTTTCGGGCTCTCTCTGCCCTTGCACCATTTGGACCATTCACTTAGAAAGTGATTTCTAGACCAGCAAGCTGGCATGGGAGTGGCTCCCACACATGCGCTGCAACCCACAGCACTGTGTCTTTTGCCCCTGCAGGTGGATGCATGCACATGAAGTGTCCGCAGCCCCAGTGCAGGCTCGAGTGGTGCTGGACCTGTGGCTGTGAGTGGAACCGCACCTGCATGGGCGACCACTGGTTCGATGTGTAGCAACCACGGTGGAACACACGTCTGGCCACCTGTCCTATTGGAAACACACACCATCCTGTCTTCACTTGCCCCTTCTTCTTCTCCCAAACACTTAATTTGCAGGCACGCATGCACGCATGCACGCATGCACGCCCATACGCACATGCACTTGCACAGGCACACGCACAAACTCAGGGTTCAAATTCTTGCCAAAAATCACAAAAGCAAAATTACAGAAGCTCCTGGATCTCTTCCACTGCATCCATGGAAAACAGCAAAGCCAAGTCTGACACCAGCAAGAGGCACTTTCAGGCCCAAGATCATACAAGGCCAGCACACAAATTAAACAGCAGCCTATGTGCTTTGAATAGCTTGTTTTTCTAGCCTGAATTCAAGTTGGGCTGAATCAATACATGGAGCAATTCCTAAGGTTTAATTTCCTGCCTCTGTCCTTCAGCAAATACAGTGCAGAAGCCACTGGCAAGGTGGGGAGTAGTTTGAGAGGACTCTCGCCAGTGGCACCATGCAAGACTAACTCCTATGAATTTTCAGAATTATGTTCACGGCTGTCAGAGCAATGTTCTTATTTAAATTTTCAGAGAACATCTCTGTGCAAAGAGTCCCAGGCAATAGTCAAGAATAATTGTTTACCCCCAAGAATTCTATCTTTATAAATTGTGCCGATGAAATAGCAACTATGCACACATCAGCTTTTAAACTAAGTGAGAAATTACAAAAGCTAATTTGAGTGTGGAATGTTGAAATTACAGAGAAGAAAGCAAAATTTAATGTACTGTCATTTCATTTAATTATTTGCAACTTTAGAAAGAAATTATTTTCCTAGGAATATTACAAAATCTATAATTTGATTTTAAGTGTTCATTTTGCAGCTTGAGAATTTAGCTAATGCATTTATCTTCATTCTAAATTTAATACATAAAGTGCTTTAAATGAGACTTTTGAGGCATGATTTCATAACATTATGATGTTATGTTCACTGTCGACAAAAGTGCAGGTTATTATACAAAATCTTCAGAGAAGAACATTTCCTAAACTAAGCAAAAATGCACTTGGCCCTTCCCACAGGTGTGCAGGAGGGTGCACGTGTTCTGCACACCCCTGCCCTTCCCCAGCCTGCAAGTCCCCGCCCTGCCCACACTCCCCCCAGGGGGTTCCTGCAAGGCGGAGCTCTCTGTATAGGACAGTTAGCGCACACTAGAATACTCCTCAGATTAACATACATTGAATTTGAGAGTGATCAAACTGTCAACTTTTTCTAGACATTTGCACCACATCAAAAAATATGCACTACACACTGTGAAATGCATCTCTGCTGCTCAGTGTACAGGTGAGACAGTGAACTACGGCCTTTTGCTCTCACTGAGCCTGGCTTCCCAGGAGGGTGGTGAGTATGCACAGGCTGTACCGTGTCTCAGAGGCACAGAGTCCTTTCTACTTCTGGAGACCTGGAAACTGAAGTCAGTACCCAGCCTCCTCTTTCAGAAATCTTACCACAGGTCCTTGCTGGCAGAGGAGAACGACAACCTCAGGAACTTTCCAGGCCGCGTTCCAAGACCTCTATTTCCACTTCCCTAACCACGTCACCTAGTCCATGTGCCCACGTCTCCCAGCCACCCAAGGAACATTCTGCCCTCTGTTCCCCTCATGGTTACTGCACTGGGGGAAGACAGAGTTCTGTGGCCACCCCGTCACTACAAACAGCCTCATGTGCTTCACCCTGTTGAAAACCCAGGGGCTCCATCAGGCCCTCCGGCTGCCAGACTGGCCCAGAAGCTGAAATATCAAACAAGTGATGGGATGTGGTTTCAGGAAAAGAACCTGGGCAAGGGCCCAGGTTTCACAGAGGCAAGACGGTGTGCAGAGCCCAACCCCAGTCAGGGCCTGAATGTGTGTTGTTGACAATCCCACTCCTTGTGCTGGCCCAGTGTGGCTGATCAGGTGACACCCTCCCGCCGCATGGAAAGGCCACCATGCAGCATTTTGCATCAGACGTAGTGTGCTCTTTCTTAAGTGGTTTCTCGTTATGGCCTCCTTCCGAATCTGCATGGTGTGGCTTTGTGAGACCGAAACGAGGTTTGCTGCTGTGAGTTTCTGGGGCCACAGAAGCCCCTGGTGCTGTGTGGTTTCTATCCTGGTCTCTTTCCTTCCTGGCGATGTCCTTTTCCTTCCACCCTTCCTCCCTGCCTCCCTCCTCTCCTTCTTCCCTCCCTTCCTTCCTTCTTTTTTCTTCCTCCCTTCCTTTCTTTCCTTCTCCCCTTCTTTTCTTTTCTTTTGTTTCAAAATAAAATAGTGATTCTTAAAATAATGTTTAAAGCCACTATATATGAGTATGAATCAAAGTATTATTTGGGATCAAACACTATCGTTTGATCTTACAATTGTAATAAAATATGAGTATATAAAAATGCCAATAAAATCTTTGCAGAAGAATTTTTGTTCTCTACAATCCATTAAGAAATATCTGATGACTGTGTTTAAGGTTGTGCTCAAGTTGTAAAAAAAAAAAAAAAAAAAAAAAGTCTCCATTGCTTTGGAAACAAAGAGCACACATAAGAAAAAAGCATGCCTGGCAAGCGCAAGGTCGTGAGTTCGGTTCCCGGTACCGGAGAAATTGAAAAAAAAAAAAAAAAAAAAAAAAGCATTAAAAGAGCTGTCAAGCCCATCTCTGAGCATGTATTTTTTCATGGGTGTTGGAGGCTTGGGAGGGAATGCAAGTCCCGTGGTCCCTGCTCTGGAAGTCAGGCAGCCCTGCCTGGTGACAAAATGGCCCTTTTTGTTTCTGTTCCATCTCAGAGTAATCCTTGTTGTTTCTCTCTCTCTCTTTTTTTTTTTTTTTACATTGGAGATGAAAATTTGAAAGGGCTCTAAGAGCGAGCCCTCACTCAGAACTGTGATGTGTTTTCTTGTCTTACTAGCAAGCTGCTCTAAGGGAATATTTCAAAGAGAAGTCTGGGCTGGGAAGAAGCATTCCTGAGGCTTTCCTTTGCATCACTTGGAGAGAGGTCAGTGACTTGCTGCCCTAACATGGGTCCCTTCCGGTGGCCGTGCCCTGCTGACTCCCAGTGTGCCCTGCTGCAGCTGACTGCAAGGCACTGTCTGGGCAGCACTGTTCGGTTGGAGCCAGAGACACACACTGAGGCCCTCGGGACTGACACCACAGAGGTGATCGAGAACTATGGATGGCTGAGCATCATTAGAGCCTAGAGAGGCCACAGAGGAAGTGGGTGAATGTATGAACTTTGAGCACTGGAGTTGGGACCCTGACTCCAGTATCCACCTATGTATGAATTTTGGGGACAAAAACACCCTCTGCCTCATAGGACAGATGTGAAGATTGACTAGATTAATCCCCCTAAAGCCCTGAGGCCAGTGCCTAGCACAGAGGTGGTATTCCACAATCATTCACTGTTACTGATCAGTTGCCAGTGGAGACCACAAGTGACGCTGACAGACACCGCAAAGCGATGCTAAGTAATTGCAAACAGCAGCTCTGTCTGCTTGAGTGTCATTCGTGGATTGAGTGATTTCACATGAGAGGCTGGTGATGATTCACACTGGGTTTCAATGTGTTAGATTGTCTTCCACACAGCCCAAGTTTCCCTACAGAGGTACGCTGATAGCTGTGTGTGTGTTATATATGCAGATGATGTCTAGGGTGTGAATTAAAAAGTTAGTATTCCACATAGAAATGAATGAGCACAGGTGTGTCATGTGTCTGAAAAGAAACAGCAGAACAAGGGGTGGAAGCGGCCATCAATCACCATGGGTAGTATGTGTGAACCATTCTTACGCACTCTTACCTGGCCATTTCTAATAGCATGGAGAATATTGATGGACAGTTGTTTGAAGTAAATTCTATCTCAGAAACACTGAGCCTATCTTGGAGTACACCCTGCAGATAAACTGTCAACCACAGTATTGGAGAAGTGTTACCGCAACTTGAATAACCATGAAAACAGGCGGAGTGCTGTGTGGGAAGATTCACTTGGCTACACATTGGTCACAATGTGGCTTAAGGGACCCACTGTGCTTCCTGGTCTTATCTTCAGCTATGTGGGTTGACAGAATCCACTGTCCCTATATCAAGACATGACTGGGCCCCAGAAGAGTCACACACACTAACTCAACATGAGTAGGAAATAGATATAGATACAGATAGATACAAATATAGATGATATAGATATAGAGATAGAGATAGAGAGATACAGATATATTCCCTTCCTTCCTTCTCTCTTTCTCTCCTTGAAGGATAGCTAGGATAACTATACTGCTGATGTCTGTTGGGTTATTGAAAGGAACAGTTAATGCTTAAATTTTTTGACCAATTTTGCATGCTTATATCTGGTAATCTGAACAACTAATTTTAAGACAACATTATGCAATATAACAACCACTGGTGAATTCCTACCATCTTGTTTAGTGAAGCTCTGTATCATGTCTAATTTTTTAAATTATTTTTATTCTCTTTAATGGTTTGATCAGTCTTGCAGTCTTACATCTAGTAATCTGAGCAACTTCATTGAAGATAACAATATGTACTATAACAATTACTGTTATTCCTATCATTTTGTTTTGAAACCCCATATCATTTTTATTGTTTTTGTGTTGTTTTGTTTTTGTCTATATTGTTGCTATTTGGTTATTGTTTTTTTATTCTCTATAAAATAAAATTTAAAAAGAGTCAAAATATAGAAGCTAAATGTCATTGTACAATTTACATCTGCATGAGAAGCTCACCTCTGAGTCTACATGTGCTCTCCCGTCTGTCCGGAGTCATTTCTTCACAGTCCTCCCCTCCCTGCTCTGACTGGCCAGCCCTTAGACCCCTGTGTAATAAACTCCTCCAGCATGTGTTGGCTGATGCTCCTAATCTGTATTTACTTCCCACATCATAATAGTGAATGTGCAAATGGGACATGGTTAAAGCAGTTCATTCATTTTCTATCTTGCCTTGGTTACTTTTCTCTCGTTGCTGGGACAAAGTACTTGATACCCAAAATTAAGGAAGGAAAGGTTTATTCTGCTTACAGTTTGTGGAGTTTTCAGTCCATACTTGGCAGGTTACAAGGCAGAGTGGCACATGGCAGAGGGCTACAGCTCATGGTGGCAGAACACAGCAAAAGCAACAAGCACAAAAGGGAGAAATGTCCCCAAGCAGCCTCTTCTTCTCCCTTACATATGCAAACTTCCACCCCAGGGCAGGTGTAGCACTCACACCCATAATCAGTCAAACTCTAAAAGCCTGCCCCATGACCACATGAGGCTTTGTGGGGACACCCAGACACAAACCATAACATATCTCTGTCCTTAGATACAAAGAGAACAGGGATAGGTACCCACCATGGTACACCTGTCTCTGTGCCTGGAAGATTCCAAGCTCCATAAACAGGTAATTCCATTTTTAAATTCTGAGCAAATCTACATAGAAAATTAAACTATATCTGGGCATTGCAGCACACACTTGTAATTCCAGCCTGAGACAGAAAGATTGCCAGAACTTCAAGGCCAGCCTGGACTGCATAGTGAGTTCAAGGACAGCCTGAACTACATACCGAGACACTGTCACAAAACTCAAAAACAAAATAAAACAAAACAGGGGCTGGGGATTTAGCTCAGTGGCACAGCACTTGCCTGGCAAGTGTGAGGTTGTGTGTTTGATTCCTGGTACCGGGAAAAAAAATAAATAATAGAACAAAACAAAAATAGAAATCATACTATTGTGGACAGTTGGCCTGAAGAATCAGGACTCAAAGGCAAGTGATTGCATGACTAATTCTCCTTGGCCAGGTGCATCCATCCCCATCACAAACGCACAGCAAGAAGAAAGAAAGAGAGAGAGAATTCCTTAAAACATTGGAAGAAAAGAATTTACCAAAATTGTGTGTATGCTACAAATGAAATTATGTAAAAAAAAAAAAAAA